TGTCGCTTCTTGTGTGGCGTCTGGAAGGTGGTTGAAGAGAGGAGCGACACGAGGGGGCAGCTTAGAGGCGGTTCGGGAGGTCCTTGCGGGCTTTGAGGGCTCCTTGGGCTCAGGCTTGATGGGCGAGGTGGAGGTTGAGTGGTGACCATTTGCCTCGTTCGGCTCTGTCTTGGCAGTTGACGTGTCAGGATCAGCGGCGGGAGGCCGATTCGAAGAAGATGTCGATGCAGAGGATGAGCGTGAGGACTTTAATCGGACTGGTTTCAGAGATGGTGAAGCCGAGGGGCTCGCCGAGTCTTGATGCTTGATTGCCGCTACGCGGGTGCTGCTGAGCTCGTGAGCAAGCTCAGCGTCCACCGACTCCTCGCGCTTGACTTCAACCGCCTCTCCCTCGTCTGCAGACGGACGTCTGGACGAGTCTCTGCTTCGCCGGCCCATCTTGAGGATGGGTGTGATGAGTCTGCCGTCCCCCAGAGTGTTTTAGCGCCAGACTGGACGCAGGAGTGAGGTGGTGCAGAAATTTCACGGGGTCTCATGCACATCGGGGCGATACGAGCCAGACAACAATGGAGCTCCAACAAAGGGAGAAATTCAGCGCTGGACAATCCAGAATCCACCGTGCAACGATTAGGATGTCCCGTGTCAACTGCACTTGGCGGGCGCGTGAAATTGCCTGAGGCCCGAGGGTTGATCAGGTCGCAGCCGACCGGTCTATCAATGAACGAGGGGCAGCAGTGTCTACCGCCCAATAAATTGGCGGTGGCAGCGTGGTCTTGTTTTCCTCAAGCAGTGAAGGACAGCAGATGTCGCTGCAGGGACCGTGGGCAATGGAGTGAAGCAAGAGCAACAGAGCGGCGGTGAGTGAAGGACATTCAAAAGGGCAGGATAGAGTGGTGGCTCCCTGTCTTCATTTCCGCGCCACTGACACCGGCTCCAGGCACCGAATATGTAACCAATAAATGGGATCTCCGATGGTGATCACTCACGAGAACAGCCCCAGTACCAAGAGTGATCCGCCAAAGTAAAGGAAAGAAGAAGATGAACGAGTCTCGATCCAAGAAAGGGTGGGAGAGGTGAGCAAACAGGAGAGGGAAGGGAGGCTGAAGATGATTTTGCTGTGAAAGGTCTCGCGCTCTCTTTTCTCTCTCCAGGCAAAAAAGCGCGGATAAGCCCATGCCAAGACGAGCAGCCGACATTCCGCCTTTCCACCTTTCAGCCCTGCAGTGCGTGCCATATATTCTTCTTTCTCATCCATCAGTCATCCAAAGCCAAAAGACAAGCAGAGAACTGTAGTCATCATCATCGTCACCAGCACCAGCACTGTCATCGCCACCCTCGTCCCCATCCCCCCCTGTGTCTCTCTCGTCTTCATTATCTCCATGGTCAGCGTTCGCTCCTTTGATTCCTCTCCATAACAGACTTCCCTTTGGATCGTCAAAAACGTCACCCCTCTCGCCTGTCTATCCATACTATCCCTGAGTCCTCCCTAGGTCTATGAATCCACCAGTCCGGTTTACATCCCAAAACAAAGCCCCCGAGGGTGGTGTTCGTGCATAATCGGACACAGGACCCCAAAAGAGGTTCGCCGGTCCAGTTCTGAGGTCGTCGAGATGGCTGCAATAGTGAGGAATAAACATGCGTCAAATCAAGCACCACATCGTGCAATGTCTTCTCATCCCAGGCCTGGAGCTCCCAGCCAGTGTATCATCAATCCAAAGGCACGCCCAACCTTCTCCCTGCATTCCCAATGCAGTAGATATGGTGTGTCGCGCCCTCAAACGGCATCTTCAGTGTCAGCCTGCTTCGTCTTTCGATCGTGTTCGGCTCTTGCTCTTAACCATATCCACAAAGCCCATGAGAGAGGTTCTGGCTTGTCGCCCGGCATCTACGGCCTTACCTTTCCATACTGACGAGTGCTTCCCAGGCGATTGGGGGCTAAGTGGCGTGTTCTCTTCTACTTCAGCTGCACCCCCGACTGGTGGAGGTGTGCTGGATTTGGAGGCTTCTGCTTCTTTGGCTCTTGCTCGTTCTGCTTTCTCGGCGGCAATCCATTCTCGGTGTTCCTGCCTCCTTCTCTCGTACTCTTCTCTTGCCGCTTGTCGCAGTGCACGGCTGACTTCGGTCACCCGGGCTTTTCGGGCAGAGAACTGCGTATAGTCTTTGATCTGATTTTTGGCTTCTTCGCCCTTGGCCGCCCATTTACCTGCCAGTCCGCTGATGGCCAGCAACTTGGCATCTACGCGTCTCGTGAGGTAGACGTTGGGCTCTTTCTTCTCCTCCTTGGCTCGAGCCATGATTCGCTCAATCTCGTCGCGATACGCGGTTTCGTAAATGTCCAGGTCGGCTGCTCCCGGGCTTTCACTCACAATGGGCACGTCGTCGTCGGCTGGCACAAACGTCCTGTCATCATCCGTGCAAGAGCTGGTCCCCGAGAATGTCGATGGGCCAATGTAAAGGTACAGTTGGTCTTCCAGGGGATCATGCGCGTGACCTCGATGGCCTAACTCGTCAGTAGTGTTTGCATGTAGTTTCAGTGATCGGAAAGGAGGTAGCTTGGTGGGGTCGAGCTTCTCGATGTCTGCCATGGTCTGGACCCTTGACAGCGAGTCATCTGTGTTGGTCATTGTTTGGCTTAGCAATCCGGAGGAATCGCCAGCCTCCCTCCCTTGTTCAGCTCCCTTCTGCTCTTCGCTCTTCGTCGTGTCGTCTATACTTAACGTAGGCACCGGTCGAACATTCAACTTGTTTACATCTTGAGTGAGGTCTTCGATCCGCGGTTCTCTCTTTGTATACTCTTGACCGAAAGCATTGAAACTATGTGATTTCGGAGGGAGAGATCCGGCGTCTCTGGGCATAGTTGTCGGGGGTTGAGAGAAATGGGCGCCTTCTTGATCACCCAGGATCGAAGTCATACCCTTAGGCTTATCCTTTCCTACAAGAGACTTGAATTTGTTGACAGCTTTTACCTGCAGGAAATGCGTTAGCAAAGCCTACACTAATCTCAATCCCAGAAACGCACGACTGTCATGAGATTTCTCATGTTCTTGGTAATTGCTGCGTTCATCTCAGCCTCTGTAGGGGGCTCAACAAGATCAGAGGTGTTCTCCTCCTCCGGAAGCAGCTTGTCAGTGCCCTTGTTTGTGACCCATGGATGTTCCTGGTCGAGGTCAGCGTTTGGGACAAGACTCAAGGGGGGTGTTTACCCTCAACTCCCGCATTTTGATACGTTTCCGCGGGTCTTTCTCGAATATTCGGTTCATCAGGTCCCGGAAATCTTCGTCCACTTCGTCACCCAAGTCCGGCTCCTCGGTCTTGATAGCCTCGTAAAGTTCAAAGATATTCGTCTTCTCAAATGGGATTCTTCCGTACTTCAAGCAGTACAAAGTCACTCCCATTGACCAAATATCCGCCGCGCGCCCAGATACATCGCCATGTCGAGCGACACAGAGCTCCGGCGGGAGAAACGCTGGACTGCCTGCGGATTTTGCAGTAAGCATTTCCGAGTCCTTTTCAAACATCTCCGAGACGCCAAAATCGACCACTTTGAGCACATCGTCTTCGGTGACCAAGCAGTTGTCAGGTTTGATATCGCGATGTACTACACCTTGAGCATGCAAGTACTCGATTCCGAGAATCAGGTCTCGAAACCAGTATCGACAGACATGGTCCGGGTATGGATCTGCTCTTTCTTCCAGGCCAACCTTCATCACCACGCCTTTCTTGCACATCTCCAATACCATGTACAGCGAATCTTCTGACGGGTCGTCCAACACCTCGATCAAGGAGACCAGGTTTGGGTGGTTCAATTTCTTCATGATGGCAATCTCCTCTTTTATCAGGTCTATTGAGCTGGCCTGCAATTCCCTCTCATTGCCGATATTTCGGTGCAAGGGAGAATTGAAGCCCTGCAATGCTCCCCGACGCCTTTGGGACAGAGGTTTCCGGAGGATATGTGATTGTGCTCGCTTGCGCAGTCTCGCTTTGGAGAATTCTTTGACCGCCTATGGAAGGATGTGAGCAGATACCCAGCAGACCACGCCGACAAGAGCTCTTACGTATTCTTTTCCATACTGGTCGATGGCTAGATGGACAGCTCCAAAGGATCCGCGGCCGATCTCTTGCTTGATTACATATTGATTGATGCGATGCTCTGCGACACCGTCGTCTTTACTGGTGACATATTCGGATCGTGCATTGAGAGATTCCTGCGCAGGCTAGATCAGAACACCCATGAAACTGTGTTGGGGGTGGTCTACCTTGACCTGTCTCGCGGCTGAAGGCGTCCGACGGTGATGGCGAAGAGGTGTATTGTATTCAGGGCTCGATCTGGAGCGATAGTCAGAGACCCGAGTCAGCGGTCGGAGGTGGAGGATGCTCATCACTCACAAATGTTTGACCATAAGAGGCTTATTGAGGATAGAGGGGTCGTCGTTGGTATTGGCACCTTCGTGAACGGCATTCACATGTGATTGTGGTCGATGGCGGGGCTGGTCTGATATATTGCTTATGGGGAAGCGGCCAGCTTCCTCCGCCGACGTGGACGTAGGCGACGCAACGATATCCATGAGGCACTCGACATTGAGTTGAAGGCCTCTGTACTCGGTAGGTGGTCGCTAGATACCTGGACACAGAGCCCCAGAGGGCTCAGCTTGAAGTCACTAGGTACTGTCGCCGGCAAAGAATGACGCCGGAGGTCTAGGGTCGAGTCGGGTTGAGGAGCGTGGCCAGTGGATTATTTCTCCGCCACACTTGCCCCGAAGCCTCGCACTTCGGATGTTGTCTACTTAGCACACAGGCTCTGCAAGTAACAACCACGTCACATAAGACAAAGCTCGCGCCAGACAATTAGATAGTTTATCGAAATCCAAAAGATGCTGTTTATTCTCTAAGAGCCCCTGCACCGTCACTCTTCTAATTCAACTAGGTGGATGATTCCCGCCAATGTGTGCGTCTGAAGCCGCCTTTTCTTGACTGATAGAACCGGCACCCTCACTGTCACAATGGTGGTCTACTCCTTCTATATATTTGATAGACATGGTGAGAAACGCACTGAGAACCCGGCCTATCTTTTTATTCAATGATTGCTGATTGTCGCAGCCGAATGCATATACAAGAGGCGATGGCTACCTCCGTCAATCTCGACGACAGGCAAAACTTCAAGGCCGTCTTCTCAGACATACGTCAATGGCGGGCCGCAAGTGCGCTCTACTTTGAGCGCAGAGGACGACGCAAAGCTCATCTTTGGGACAGTGTTCTCCCTGCGGAATATGGTGCGAAAGCTGGGAGGGGAAGATGATAGGTCGGTCAGCCGAGAATTTCTGAGAGACCCGTTTAGCTGAGTCGAGAACACAGCTTCCTCTCCTACCGAACGTCTCAATACAAACTGCACTACTACGAGACACCGACTAATACCAAGTTTGTCATGCTTACGGACACCAAGTCCGGCTCCATGAGGATAGCCCTGCAGCAAATCTACGTGAACTGCTATGTCGAGTACGTCGTCAAAAATCCGTTGTCTCCTGTCGAACATCCTGGGGGTATCGGTGTCAATAACGAATTGTTTGAAGCAAGCCTGGAACAATTTGTGGTAGGGCTGAATCTGGATGCTGGGTCAAGTCTTATGCTAACAAGATATTGAAGGATCGAGTCCTGAACGCCCCTTGACGATGTCATGATCCTATCGACGCAGTTGGTTTGCGTGCTCGTAATCTTGACACTATCTTCTACATGACATTATTGCCGGCCCTCCTAAAACCTTGCAATTTCTCCAACTGTCGCGGCACGAGGGCCAGTTTGATACGTCGGCTCGGAACGAATCCATCAAGTACCGAGGCGTCCCAAGTGTGGCGTCCCAAAGATGCGTGGGCGGCTTAAATGCTAGTCACAAAGGTCACAATCAAACAGTGTGTCACTTTCCGCCCTAGGCAGCAGCCACGAGGGACGAGATGGACGTCAAGGTCCACTAGAACAAGATCCTTGGACTGTGGCAAGCGAGGGTCGGAATCTCCAACGTGCAGGAACCACGGTTTTGGTGAATTCTGGAATCATGACAATCCTGGTGCTGTGGCACGTCGGCTGGGTCCTCCAGAACAGCCTGCAAGGAGCGGCTCCGGCTAGAGGGTGGCCCAAAGCTCAGCGCGTGGACGACTCGCGGCTCACATAAGTGTGTCTGAGAAATAAATTGGTCGATGCAAAGCATAGGACCAATGTGAATACAAACCTGGAGTTTTTGCTGTTGATTGGACACGTGTGCAACATCCTTGGTGTCGAGCTAGAATTGGCGTCGCAGAAAAGTCCGACGAATCACAAAATTCGTACGGGAAAAATCGTCTAGGGATCCCAATATCTGCATATACGAAAGAACAAGTGCTCTTCCCCAATCTTGAGGCCAAATGCTCCGTCTTTTCCATGGCGATCGCCATGATCGGCCTGACATGGCCAGTGTTGCCTATCCCGACCGTCCACGTGCCAAAGCTGGCGCAGCTGAGCAGCAAATACCCCGCAAGTGGACTGACTTGGCCGGGCCTAGCTTGGGGGCAGCGACTCTTTGCCATGGCGTGTTATTTGGGACTCGGGAAAGAGATCATGGGTCAGAGGGTAGGCCGTGTCAAAAACCAGGATTTGCAAAACCGATCCTCGGTACTCAAACACTTACTATGCTGGCGAGATGCACCCAACCTGCAGGGCCCGTCTAGACATACATCACTGCGGTGCATTTTGGAAGTTGGCGTGCATGGAATGACCAATGACATGTAGATTCTGGTGTAGAGGCAGGATGTGCCGTTCTCAACATGCAGGTTGAGGGTGATACACCAGGTGAAACCTTGTATGCCGTCAGAGGAACCTATGGATAGGTGCTGTGGTGTCTCTCAGTGGACTATCATACTCAACCCGCCATTGCCTCGTGGAAATTTCAGGTGCGAGAGCCTCTTTGATTGAGCGAATCGAAAGAATGACAAAGGAAACTTGAAGCCAAAGCTGGCAAGCGATCAAATGGGCGACACTGCCACAGGGAAAGGCTGGTGAGCGAGGCAGCGGAGTGATAGCGGTGGCTGGCCGCATTGACTGGTCTGTCAGTCTGTCAATTTTGTCAATTCAAGGCTGTCAAAAGCGGCCGCAGAAGTGGCCAGCTGACAGAGTACTATACGAAGTCCACCATCTGACCATGATCCTGTTTTCTGATAGATCGCCTGGGTGATTTGTGGGGGATCTTGCCAGAGATGCAGCAGGCTGAGGCTGAGGCTGGTGAGTACTTGGTACAAGAGCCACCCACGGGTATTCCGAGTAAGGCGAAGCGATACGCTTGATCACAAGTCGAACGGAGACAGCGGTCCGTATTATTGCCTGGTACGTACCTGCTCTAGATGCTTCTCTCCTCAGGTGCCTAGGTATACGACAAAGGATTTTGTTCAATTTGAAGCCAGGCAGTCAACAGCGTCGAGACTTCTCGAATCCGAAGAAGCAAAATTGTCTTGGTAGGCGGGTGCACCTGACAATTCGGCAGCGGCCGCCTTGGCCTTTTGGGGGCGAGGCGGCCAACCCACCAACGGTTGCAGAGCCCAAGTAGGGCCTAGGGCTGCTGGGCCGAGAGCCCCCTACGCAGGTACCTATTATTATTTCCCCATCTTCCGGAACTTAGGTACCTACAAGTACTTGTTGGGTAGGGCCCAGAGCCCAGAGCCTAGAGTCCAATGCCCAGAGCCTAAGTAGGCACGAGAAAGTCAATGACTGCCAGCCTGCGTCTTTCGTCATTTTCCCGATGTCCATGTGTCCATCAACTTTCACCTCCACCCTGAACAACCTTGCCTCACTGATTCATCATCGACCCTGGCCATGGACAAATCGAGAAATCCGCACCTTATAACAGCACGCTCTCTAATAAGAGGTACTCTCTGAAAATTTGGAGCCTTTTGTGAGGCTTGTTGCTGATCCTGGGTAGAGCAGTCTTGAGCAGTTCTTGGGCATCTCTTCCTTGCACAGGCTCCGCTGCAGCCATCACCCATTGTGTCCTGTCATTCTCGTCCGCATCCAAATTAAAAAGTCAGACAAAAGTATGCCGGACGAAAGAGTGGGCAACCCCTGGCGCGAGTTGGTGTTCTGCTTCCACGACCACGGTAGGGGGGCGGCAGATGAAGCCTGGAGCTCCTCCATCCTGGCCCATCACAAAAAAAAAAGGTAAGACCCGACACGCACACACACCCTGGACCGTTTGCGGTTCCTGGAGTTGCTAGCCTTGCTAGCTCCTTTTTCCTTCCACTTGAGCGGCCCTGGTTGGTGACCCTGGTCCCTGAGCCTAAACTCTCTCCGACCGCGTCAAACCCAGACACAGTTGTAGGGTCGTATTCTTGGGCACCCACCATCGGCTTTCTCTCATGTTCAAATTGCTCCATGCTTCGCGCTGTTTGCCCATTCGCTCCCTGGGACCCCGGCTAACCCAGGCATCGTTGTCTGCAATCCTATCTACATCTTCCATTGGCGAGGGGCAGTGGAAAATGCATCGCGCCACTGGCACATTCGGCGAGTTGGACCTTGTCGCTGTACCTCCAGGCTTCTGCTGTTTTGCTCTCGCCTCCTTCCTATTCTGGCCTCTGGAACTCTGTGCAGCGATTGGGCTGACGGCGGCTGTACATGGGTTTGCCGTGTGCCAGTCATCCAGAGGTGCCTGACAGGCATCCCCACCAAGCATAGGATCCACTCCCCACCACCATCGGTCACGATCAAATACATTCTCACCCCGTGTGGAACGGAGCTGCTACGACGTCTGTACCTTGCTCAACCCAAGACGCCAACAAGCCGAACAAATTCACTGTCAGCTGCAGGTCCAGGTCCTTCAGGAACCTGTGCCACCAGTCAATCGCTTCCAACCTGACCAGGGCCTCGTCCACTTTTCCGAATTCCAACAAGCCATCCACCCCGCCGAATCCTCGCTCGTAAGTACTCTCGACATGGGGCAGCCCTGACTGATGATTTTCCTTCTCGAGACAAAAAGACGGCCCTTTTGCGCGTCTGAAGATCCGTCTGGACGGCTTTTCTCTTCCACAGCTCCTCTTTCCATAGAGCATTGGTAGCATCAGGAGAGATCTGACAGAAGAGCGTCTGTTTCTTCATATCCCTCCCAGTGCCGCCCTACCCTCCATTACAACTCTCTTCCCACATTTACCTGTTTCTCTACCACCTCATCATATCACGCGACTTGGGTTCAGAAATACCTCTTGGTCCGCCGCCAATCCCGACGACCTATACCGCGGTCATGAGAATATAGAATTGACCAATCTGGCTTGACTGCCTTGCAAACAACTCGAAATGTCTTCAACGTCTAGTCTGGGGGGCTCCTGCCCTGTTCCCTTTCTGCAACAGAGCCTCTTCCCAGATGCAGGGGGATGTACGTACCTGTCCGGTAACCTCGACAATTTCCAGGGCTCTTGCTGATAATCTTCAGTTATGGAGGGACGATTTTGCATGCCTTTGTCCACTCTTCAGCCCAACCTCACCTGCTGTTTACCCTGCCCGATGACAGACTGGACATACTCGGATGGTAAGCGGGGGACAGGAAAGTCCGTAACATGTCGACATGCTGACCTTTTACAGGATTTGAAGCGCGTACCGAGATTGCCAACTGGGTAAATGTGGCAGCTTTTGTGCTTTCCATATATCTTCTTCTTTCATTTGCTGTTCTTCCAGTCAAATATACTCATCGACACTATTTGAGTGTCTGTTTGACCTTGGGAGTGGTTTTCTTGGAGGTATGTTGAAACCCACTGGCGCATTGAGACGGCGGCTAATATTCTCCATGTTAAGCTTGCCTTCATTATCCCGTTGGCCACAAAGCCTGCACAATGTTTCAACGAAATTACCCCCAATGATATGAAATCGAGCGGCTCTTGCGCAATTAGCGGCGCCTTTCTGTTATTTGGGGGTTGGGCCGTTGTCATTTGGGTTTTCTGCAGAGCCCTGGCCCTCCATCTCCAGATTTGCTGGGAGTTGGTGCTTGGGGACAGATCATTCTACACGGCACTTGTTTTGGGATGGCTGGTCCCAGTTGTCGGCCTTGCATTGACGCTCAGCCTGACTGGAGTTTCATTCCGCTTCGGCAATGTCTGCCACATCAACCACAAAGATGCCCTTCAAGATTATTGGGGACCGCTTCTGGCTTTTGCCGCCTTGGCTTTGGTGCTGCAGTTCGTGACAATCGGCTATTGCATTCAGGTCTATGTCAAGAGCCTCCTTGATGACAAACAAACAACAAATACCAGCTCGCGACCCCCAACTTATCAAGGGAGTATGAGGACGGTGACTGCGAGACAGACCTATCGCCGAGTCAAGAGGGTGATCGAGCTTCAGTGGCGTGGAGCTAGCATCGTGCTCGTCATCATTGCAGAAGTCGTGTTCTTCTCTGTAATCTTTGTCTCGATGGACAACAGTACACAAGTCGATGCTGGGCTTTTGCAAAAGTCGGAGCCTTGGCTCACGTGTTTGGTTGCCAACAAAGGAGACAAAAACAAATGCCTATCGCTTGCGAGCGGACTGGTCAAATCAGAGGGGATCGTTTTGGCGGTGCTCGTTGTTCTTGGGGTAAGATGCTTGATACCCTCTGTCCCCTTTGTGTTCTAACCGGTGTTGCAGTTGAGCGGCTTCTGGTGCCTGATATTCATGGGCCGATGGTC